CACTGTCCAGTCACTGTACTCTACTACAGTACGTAGATGACCTTCTATTATGTGGAACCTCTTTCGACCACACCAACAAGATAGAGTCCAAATCCTAAATTTCCTGGCTAACCTGGGGTATCGAGTCTCCTCACACAAAGCCCAAATCTGTACTAATACAGTCACATTCCTGGGAGTCTCACTCACACCTCCTACCAAGGCCCTAACCCAAGATCGCCTCCAAGCCCTCCAGACCCTGTCCCCACCTACCAATGCAGACGAAATCCTCTCCTTCCTGGGTCTAGTAGGCTTCTTCCGACACTGGATCCCTAACTTTGCTATACACGCAGCTCCCCTATACAAAGCAGCCAAAGAAACCCCCCAAGGCCCACTCTCCAGCCCGGGATCGGTTGCAAGGGCCTTCCAACGGCAGGTCACATCTCTAGTCACTCAACCAGTCCTTTCCCTCCCTAATGTTTCAAAGCCTTTCCTCTTATACACAGATGAGAGGGCTGGAATTGCAACCGGGCTCCTAACCCAACTGTGTGGCCCTAAGTTACAAGCTGTCACCTACCTTTCTAAACAACTGGACCCTATGATCAGGGGGTGGCAACCCTTCCTTAGAGCACTTGCAGCAGCAGCCACTCAAACCCAAGACGCACTCAAACTCACCCTACACTGCCCCCTAACGGTACTTTCATCGCACCATCTGATCTCCTTACACTTGAGGCCCTGGCACACCTCTCCCCATCACGCATACAATTGTTCCATCTGCTCTTTATTGAAAATCCTGAAATATCGCTCCAACTCTCCCCCAGACTCAATCCTGCCACGCTACTTCCGCAAATCAACCCCAAAGACACTTCACAGCCACCCTTCCACTCCTGCACTGAACTTATAGATATCCTCTCCAAACCTCCATCTAACTTAAAGGAACTTCCCCTCACGTCCCCTGATCTTACTCTAGTTGTAGACGGTGGCAGCTCACTAGTTGACTGCAAGGGCCACCGACAAGCAGCGTATGCTGTAGTTACATTAAGCCAAACTCTAGAGACCCAGACACTACCCACAGGAACCACATCCCAGAAGGCTGAACTCACAGCCCTCATGAGGGCTCTCCAATCGTCCAGAAACAAAAGGGTCAGAATATACACAGACTCAAAATACGCTTTCCTTATTGCACATACACACTCCCACTTATGGGAAGAAAGAGGATTCCTCACAACTAAGGGTACCCCCATCATCAACGGGCCACTCATAGCGAAACTCCTTGAGACCCTCAAGCTCCCACAGGAAGTGGCCATTGTCCACTGCAAGGGCCATCAACCCCTAACCACAGAGACAGCTATAGGAAATCACAAGGCTAACAACACTGCCAGACAAACAGCTCTCTCTCTCGACCCAGTTCCTATGGGCATCCTCACCGAAGATACAACTCGCGATTGTACCCCAGATGAACAAAAACAATACATGGCCCATCCCGATGCCCACACCAACGCAGGCTGGATCATGCTGGGCCCCCGACTGGCCCTCCCAAATAGCCTAGGCCCTTCCCTACTAACAAAAATCCACAAAACCCTACACATTGGGCCGGAGGCCACCTTCCGCTTCCTTGAGCCCATTATGTACCACCCCCACCTACGACAACTGATCGCCAACGATGCACCACGTGCACCGCAGTCAGTTCCCAAGGTAGGATGAGGCACCCAGGCCCCACTCATCAGATGTGGGGCCATCTCCCAGGCGAAGACTGGCAAGTAGATTTCACTCACATGCCAAAACACAAAAAATTACGGTATCTCCTTACCATAATTGACACATTTATAGGGTGGAAAGACAGAAGTCTTCCCCACCTCATCTGAAGGGGCCTCCACAGTGGCTGAGATCCTACTCAAGGACATCATTCCCCGCTTTGGTCTACCAAGAAGGATACAGTCTGACAACGGGCCTGCTTTCATCTCAGCAGTCACCCAACAGGTCTCCAAAGCTTTGGGTATTACTTGGAAACTCCACATACCACACCACCCCCAGTCCTCGGGTAAGGTTGAAAGGGCCAATGGCCTCATAAAAGACCATCTCACTAAACTCTCCATAGAGACTCGGCTTTCTTGGCCTCAACTCCTACCTATAGCACTCACCCAACTCCGAGCCACTCCCCGAGGACCCACAGGCCTCAGCCCATTTGAACTCCTATACGGGCGACCCTTCCTGTTACCCCAACCCCTACCAAAAGATCCTCCTCCTTTGGCTGCCTATCTCCCTTACCTCAGCCTGCTCCGACACCTGATTCGACAGTACGCTGACCTCACTCTATCAGCTCCCATTGATCTCTCCTCTCCCTCACTATCTGTAAACCCAGGAGACTCAGTGCTCCTTCGAGTAAGACAAAAACCAACCTTTGCCCCCCAGTGGGAGGGTCTCTACACGGTCATACTCACAACCCCCACGGCTGCTAAATTATTGGGCCACACCCTGTGGGTTCACACCTCTGACCTCAAACGGGCCCCCCCTTTACCCCCTATACCAGAAGAGTCGTGGACCTCCCAACCAACCGGCCCCCTTACCCTCAAACTAACCCGACAGGCCCCTTCATGACAGACCCTTCCCCTTGGTTTTCCACCTTCACACTCACAATATTACACAAGCTACAACTCTCCCACTCATCGGACCCCATCGCCCTCCCCTTATTTCTCTCCTGGGTCTCTGACTGTTGGCTTCAGGGAACTCTCTCCGATTTCTCCCCCATCGAAATCTCCTTCTTTACCTTTTTACTAACCATACTTATATATCATGATGATACTTCCCCGTTACTCCTTGTTAACATCATCCCCCTTATGCGCTCACAACCCTCCTATAGGTGGGTTTTTTTACCTATCTGAAACGTTTAATGGACACACCTCTATCATATCCTCTACCCCTTGCCCCATTGTTGGGTGCCAAAATCAAGTCACCTTTAAATTTCCCTCCTTCAACACACTCCAAGCCTCTATGCAGATTACTCCCGCCATTTGCTTTTTATATGACCAGACCGACAAAATATGCTCCCAGACCTCCCCCAACCAATATGGAGGATGCCTCTATCACTATTGTAACATACACTGGCTCAACCTATACTGCTTCACAGGGCCAAGGATGGGCCGCTTCTGCTTAAAAAATGGCAACTTTACCCTTACTGTCCCTGATCCATGGGATCCCCGCTGGCAAACCAGAATAAAGGGCAAACTGTATCAGAACGGCCACTTCTCTAACCCCATCTCCTCTTTAACCATCTATCGAACTTATGAGCCCTCTATGTCTCCTTCCCTCTCCAACCTTAAAGCTCTTACCCAAGTAATCATGGACCAAGAAGACCAGCTCAACACACAACTACAGACACCCCCTGCACAACATCCCTTCTCATGGCTTACATTGATCAGACAAGGAGCGATCCTGCTTAACCACTCAGGCTTAACCAACCTGTCACACGGCTTTCTTTGTGCATCCCTTCAGCAGAATCCAGTAATAGCCGTCCCATTACCCACCCCCTTTCCCAACACCACTAACTCCATCAACCACCCCAGAAGTCAAATCTCCCCACCGATTCCCATCCTCACTGAGACCCCTCAAAGCAACATGTCTCACCCAATATGCTACTCTTCTCATGCCTCCCCAACTTGCCCCTCCCCCCTGCCTATGCCTAGCCACAACCCTCCCCCAGGGGGATTCTATTGGTGTAATGGCACAGCTTATAAACAAATGCCCAAAAATGCTTTTATCTGTCTCCCAGTCACCATTATCCCCCAATTCACCCTACACGGACAGGAAGAACTCCATCAACTCCTCGAATTCCATCTCCAAAAATGAGCCTTTTTCCTCCCACTAATGGTCGGACTATCCCTAGCCATGTCCCTATTGGCCGCCGGGGTTGGGACCGGCTCCCTCGCACACTCCATTACCTCCTCCAGGGACCTGTCAAACAGGCTCCAAATCACAATAGAAGCCTCAGCAACCTCCCTATCCACCTTACAAAGGCAGATCAACTCCATAGCACAGGTCACTCTATAAAACCGACAAGCCCTAGATCTCCTAATAGCAGAAAAAGGGGGAACATGCCTGTTCCTGAGGGAAGAATGTTGCTACTGAAAGGGTGGACCTATGCCAGCTGACTCCATCTTGTTCTGTGTCCTCCACCTTGAGTGACTATGTCCCCAACATGCCCCCTTTCCGGGAAAATCGCAGAAACCTCAGACCACGCCTCCTCCCCTTGAGTAAATTCCCGATCAAAACACGCCCAGCGACCTGCGACCTGCGTAACAGGACTCCGA